AATCCTCTCTCTACAGTCTGTCTATGATTAAGGCAAAGGTAACATCATTAGTTTCTAATGATCTTACCTGTACCACAAAATTGTTCTAGCTTTTTAATAAAATCTACTTAAAAATAACTTCATCCAATGTTTGCAACATAGTGACACTCAATAAGTAATGATGACAATGATAATGATAATTTCATTAATATTATCATTATTAGTTCTGCAGAGGTCTTATACAAGTCAACAGACTCTTCCATATCTTTAGGGAGAACTTAAATAATAGCCTTATATAATAAGCAAGAACAAATGAAGAATATAGGAAAAGGAAACTAAAATATGTTGAGATACACATACGTGCTCAGCATAGTACTTTATATTTTAAGTATTATCCTTATAGGAAGTATAAATGCATGTTCCCACCTGTAAGGAACAGGCTATATTATATCCACTTAATACTTATTAGTAAAATTAAATTACTCTGCTTCAAACTTCCATTCACTGTGTTGGTAGGAAATAAAATCCTGATAAGCACCCCACTCACCTCATATGCAAATAAGAGTTCTCAAGGAGTTAGCAAATACCTTTGGTGCCCCACGTCACGTTGATACAGCTCATCTCTGCATTTAGCCACAGCTGTGGCAAGCAGTTATATGCAAAATTAGATTCATATCACCCTGAGAACATCCCATAGGAAGCACAAGCTATTCTCTGTCTAGTTCCTAACCAGAGGACTTTCTCACAGGTCTCAGGAGTTTATTTGATCTACTCTACAGCATAGAGTTGTGTATGGTTAATCTTCAACCAATGGAGGATAGGAATCAGAGTGTTCTGGGAAGATTTCTGTACATATTGAGAATATCTGGCAAAATTGAACACTTTTACCCACTTGACAAAGCGGTAACTTTGCTAATGCACCATTCTATTAGCTTTTCTGCCCTGCCTCTTTAACGTAACCTTTGGATTATACTTAATATTTTTTGCCGTGACCTTAAAGTTCCTCCCATTCTTTCTCATGTTTCTATTTCCTTAAGCAATATCTGAAATACCTCTATTTCATTATTGTTTTTGAGAACTGTTATTCATTTTTTATGATATAACTGTCTCCTTCTCTCCTCTTCTAGGAAGACTTCCCAAGTTTCCTTAAGCATTGATTTTTCTCTCTTAGTCTTACCATAAAATTTTGTTGACACCACCAGAATAACACTTACCATGTTATATAATATTCAGCTGTTTAAATGTTGATCTTTCCTAATAGACTATGATTCCTATGAGGAATGAGGAGCCTCATTTTTTTCATTTCTCACTTCAGTATTTAGAATATGTCTTGACATATAGTAAGTATTTAAAAATATATGTGTTAAATGAGTTTCTTTTCTTACAATGAAACTACCCTTTACCTGGGACACTAGTCAAAACTCAAAAGATCAATTTCTTTGTTCATCCTTTTTCATTCCTAGCCTTTCATTTTGAAAATGCTAAAAATGAAAAAGAAAAGGACACGGTTTACCCAGAGAACTTTCTTATAATGAGATATCAAATAGAAGAAGCAACAAATCACTGAAAGAATACTTCAACATCCATACACATACACACACCCTCATACACCAAGTTGATTTTGGTTATCCAGGTTTGTTAAGTTTTGTAAGTTGCTACCAACACCAAATTGGCAGATTTTGAACCTTTGTTCCTAGGAGAAATATAGGGATAGATAGCTGTGAGCGTTCGGTTATAGCATTTTCAACAACTGATTTATACATAACCTTGTTTTATGTATGTTTCTATTTAAAGACATGGTATTGAATACATATTGTTAATTCATTAATATTGAACTCACAGACAACAGCACTGTAACTCATACCTGAATGCGGCATATCTAACACGAAAATGTTCTTCACTGGGCACATCAAAACTTCTCATGTATAGGAACACTAGGAAACATGTTAGTACTATACATGGGAACTATTTTAAATAGCAAAATCACCAACAGAAAGCACAAAAATACAAAAACATGGTACTACCACTCATTTAAAAAAATGGTGAAATAATACCTTTTTTAAGAACCTGGATGGAACTGGAGAACCATTCTTCTAAGTGAAGTATTGCAAGAATGGAAAAAAAAAAAAAAAAACAAGGAAAAAAAAAACCACTCGTACTCACTATTAAATTGGAACTAATTGATCAACACTCATGTGCACAGTATGCACATATGGAAGTAAAACTCAATGGAAACCAACCAGGTGGGAGGGAGGAGAAGGGGATGAGTAAACTCACACTTAATGGGTGTATTGCACACTATCCAGGTGATGGGCACACTTGTAACTGTGACTCAGACTGTACAAAAGCAAGTCATATAACCAAACCCAGAATACTACATGTACCCCTGTAATATTCTGAAATAAGAAAAGAAAACATGGAATTAAATAAACACAAAAGGGAAACTTATTTTCAGTAAGAAATATTAGTTTGACATCAGCTGTGAATATGTTCATAGGGAGACTGAAATTTTGTGCAGATATGCACAGGTACATGTCTGCGAATGACTTCAAAAGCACTATGAATATTAATTTAGGATTACAAATAAATTTTAGTGGGTAGGAGAATTTGCAAATGCATAATTGACAAATAATGAGGATCAACTATATATACGCTTACATTTTGATGTGTTTTAACTTACATATGTATAATAATATACATATTTTTCTCAAATCCACACTTACCCATTCCCTAAACATACATGATCCAGAACTATTGAAAACAAAAAACAAAGAAACCAATAAAAACCCCACTGCCTTTATATCATAGGATCATATAGAAAATAGCTCCCTTTGTTCCTTTGGTATTACACAATCAGGTATTACACAATATGGAGAAATTGTTTTTTAACTGTGATGTAACATGTAGCCAAGTAATCAGAGGCACATTGAGAACCCTACACAAGGTTTTATAGTGATTCACAATAAAATGTCATTGCGTTTTATAAAAATGTATGATTCACTTTATTGGCTATATTAGTCTCTCTTTTAACAGAACATGATTTTAAGATACATAAACCTGTTTTATTTAAACTTAATTTAGCCACTACTTGAAATCAAAGTTTGTGTCACAAGATCCTACTGTCTTGCTAAGGAATCTTCAAAGATGTTTTACATCATTATATCTTCTTCCTTTTCACTCTTGCTATTAAATTTACTCTTACTGTCCACTGAGATTAAAGTCTCTAGACTAGTTTACTTAGGAGAACAAAGGATGAATAGAAATAGGAAGTTTATATAGAGATCCTTTGCAGACTCGCTAACTCCATTTGTTCTGCTGTTTTCTCGTGCAGGAAATATATTTAGGTTGTTAGAATGGGAAAGTTCTGATTTTTTAAAATCTTAATATGAAAATGAATTCCTGACTTGGGGGAATGCTGTCAACTTTTTAATTTATTTGGCTTCTTCCATAAACATTCCTGTGAATTCTTCATATTCCTGTTTAGTCTCTTGTGGAAACATATTATTTATATTGAACAAGGAGTTGACTACTGCAACGCTTCATCCAAATCACTTAACTTTAAAAAATAGGGTAGAGGGAAAAGACATGTTTACTTGAAAGATTAGCTTTTAAAGTTAAGCATTTGCTTTTCTCCCGTGTGTTTTTTCTTTGCTCCAGTCTCCCAAGCAGTATGAGAATAAAATAAAATAATGAAATAAAATACTATAGAAAAGATCTATTGTTTTACTTGCACCATTTTTACTATTTAGACCAATCATGAAAACTTAAGTAAAATTATAAAGATCAAACTATCTAATCCTTTCTCTGAAGAGGCCCAATGAACAATTTAGCATAATAGATTTGGAGAAAAGAAAGAATTGCTGAATACTTCATTATGTATTAGAGCATCCTATGGTCCTATGGAGCACAGTGCTCTAAAGAGTGAGATACCCTCTCAATATTTATATCAACATTTCCTGCGGAAATTTTCTGATCAGTTATAAAAATAAAGGTGGATGCTTGGTAAGGTGAATACTTTAAGAATATTTGATGACCAAGACTCTACTCATTATCTGACTTTCCTAAATCTGTCTGCAACTACTGATTTATTCTTCACAGAAATAGAACAGCTCATTGCAGCAATTGGTCCACATTTTTGTGTTGTATAAGAAAACTATTAATACCACCTTTCTAGGACTCAGTATTTTGCATGGCTGAATTTTATACCTAAAACATACTAGGTGTTTGACTTTGGTCAAGCCATTTTATTTCTGCAGCCTAAGTTTACTTAACAGTTTTAATGGATTTAATAATATTTCCCTATTTGACTTTATAGAATGCAAATAGTAAATGAAGATTGCCCCATAAAGAATAACCTGCTTGACAGGTATAGCTCTTTGGAAGCTCTAACCAACATTGTTTGAATGATTCACAGCCAAGAAATAAAAAAAATATATATATATATGTAACCAAATATTAAAATGAAATTTTGAACAAATCTCCACCCCCCCCCACACACAAATCTCAAGGCAAAATCACCATGTGCAAAATTTATAAAGGACATTAATCAAAATTATTTTCACAACTCAGACCCATAGACAAAACAGGGTTATAAAAATGGAGCAAAGTGATTTTTGCTCTCTAAGTCCTCATCTTACTCCATGTCTTGAGGAATGGATGAGGCTAGCCCTTTTGCTTCTATCCTAGTGATGGTAGCTTTTATATAGTTAGTGTTTCCCACAGGCAAGAATAACAGAGGACTGGTATCTGATCCATTCTGACAAAACAAGCTAAGCTCGACGACATAAACTTGCATCTTCAGAATTTGTTTGGGATAAGGATGGATTAGTATATACCCATACTGAAAAAAAAAAAAAAGAGTCAGCTTATAGATATGTTCTTTATTAAAGAGCTGCCTAGAGAGGTGAAGAAACCCAACATTGAGATGCTGGAAATGAATATTTTATTTCTTAGGGCTAAAAGAAAGCAATTGACCTTCTGGAATAGATTATTCTACTACCCAGGGAAGAGGACAGAGTCATCAAGCCCAGTGACATAGTGTCATATACAAATATTAGGCATTCTCAGGGACAAAGCAATAAGGGGAAACTTGTCCTATACTCTTCATACTTCACCCTTCTTGTCTATGTATCTGATCCAGAAGTGATCAGAATTTAGCTAAATAAGCCAGAAGGGAGGAGGAGAAAAGGGAGGCAGAGGAGTAATGAAGAATCCAACTTTTAAGCAACTTGTTAATTGCCATTATAAGTTTCCATTTGGGATCTGATTTAAGCTATGGGAAGGAAAATTTACTGTCAAATCAGCTTCTACTTTATGATTCATATATTTTTCTGCACATTCTGTATACTGAATAGAGACTATACATGTGACAAGGTAACTATTAAACGTCTATTTTCTTACACAGAGTACATAGGCTTTTCTAAGTTTCAATGTGATGTCAGGGAAAAACCTTTTCCTGCTAAATAAAGTTTAACAGAAATAGTAGAAGCCAAAACAGTGAAGTTTAATTTTCATCAAGTCATGAGTCATGCTGGTATAACATTTTTGTTATGATAAAATAAAAGCAACAAAATTAAGCCAGATCTTCATTTTCTTTCTCAAATGGTATTTAATGGATTTGATTTGGAAACTCCACAATAATTTTCATAGTCCCTTTTCCCTTTTTCCAGTTACTTTTCTCTTTTGCCATTTCTCTCACATTCCATAGTCTCTGGTACCTCTTGTTTACTAATCTCTTAACCTTAAAAACTCATCTCTCTTCCCTGAGCAAACAGTGTATTATTTGTCTTCTCCAATCATTTTTCTTTTATTTCTTCATTGTGTATGTAGTCTTAAATTTTTCACAGATTCTTCTTCAGGCAGTGTTGGGTGGGGATAGGAGATTTCCAGGGTGAAATCCATCATGTCTCTACATGTATCCAATAATAAATTGTATCCTATCACATGGTTCCACAGTTACTCTTTATCATAGTCTATACAAAAACACCTGCATGCAGTCACACACACACCCTCCAACCTCCACTATCAAAATACTATCCAATAAGCATGTTATTCCTTCTCCTCTCCTTTTTTCCTTCAACTTTTTCTTCAAATTTGTTTCTTCTTCTTCCTTTTCCTCTCTGCTGATGCTCTCAGATAGAAACCATCTGATTCCATTATAAACTCCTTTAGCCAATAACACGATAGAGAAATAAATAACATTTTTTTAGTAAAAGCATTAATCTGAAAATTTAATATCTACCAGTATTTTTGCTAAGGAGAGAAAAGGAGAAATAAAAAGACCCTATTTTTTAAAAATATTTCTCACAAAGTCAGTGTATGACCAAAATTTGAATTATGCCAAATATGTCAAAAGTTAGCCCATCCACAGGTCATAAAAGAGGAGATGAGTTACTGAATGACTACGGAGGACACTATGACCTATGCTTCTGATGATAGGTAAATTAGGAACACAATTACTAGCTTAAACTATAACAGTTGCCTCTGGAAGGGTCTTGTGATTATACAATTGGGTTTAGGAAATAATGTGTAACAGGCTTTTGTTGTTATTTTTTCCTATCTTGAAGAGGTACACATATCCTGCATATGGGGCCATTTTTATCAAACTTCCAACTTCTTGAATCCCACAAATATCTATGGATTGAATTTTATTATTTTCTTCTGATCCTTTGTTGACCAACATACCTGCCTACTATTTTCTCCTACCCATGTTTAAATTTACCATCTGTGAGAATTCAGTTGCCCTTCAGAGCAGAAATCATTGTTTATTATATTATTTATTATTTTTGACTGTACATCATCCCCATGTAATTTTAGCTTAAGTGCTTCATTCTGTGACTTGCTGGCAGACAGCCCACTAGCGTAGTTCTTCCACTTGGAACACAAAGACAGACCAATTTTCCCTGGGTCACCAGCATGCTGTATTGAATTCAGATTATGAATTCCAGTCACTGTCCATTCTGTCAAGCACTTGTTCTAGTCCTATACATAAATGTCATGCTATGTGGATTTTGGTCAAAAATGACCTTTATGACAGTCATCATAAACTCTTGCAAGCTGCAGTGTCTTTTGCCTCTGAGCCTGTCTTTCCAGTATTTCTGAGGCATATTCCAACCATAATTCAAAGTCACTTTGTTTGGATCCCAGCTCATTAGTTACCTCCACAGTGTTAATTTTTTCTATCGGTGGTGCCTATGCCAGCCGTTCCAAAGCTTTTTAAATTATAGGTCTACTAACATTGCTCTTTGCCCCCTAGATGAATGTCTTTGCAGTAATGGAATTCAGCATTAGCTTTGAATTACCTTAAATAAATTTAGCCTCATACCTATATAGTTATACAAATGGATTTCAATTTGCTAATGAATAGTAAACAAAGAGTTAAAATTATTATCTTGTTTACCTCTTCCCAAGTAATTTTTTGCCTTCTAAATCTAGTCAGTTTTTGCATCACTAAATACATTTAGTTTGTTGTCTACCTGGAATATTCAGTTCCAAATAGCACACATCCCACAATTTGCAATTTTGAATTTTAATTTTTTCCCAAAACATTGATAAGCTATGGAAGAGTTATTTCAATAATCACAGTGACTTATAATTAAAGACCCACTTCCATGACCCATGGTTCTATGATTTGACCCAGGCTTAGTATAATAGGGGAGGGTATTAGCCTGAGGTGTATCTGACTGTTACTTGTCTCAAAGAAGCTGCCTGGCCTTCTTAGGTGTGAACCTATTGGAACTAGCCCTGTATAACTTAAATGAGGTCACATTCACAAAACATTTATCGTTATCACCTCCCCTTCCCCAGCCTTTCTCTCTATGCCCTGTCAAAGGTAGCTCCTTCTCAGAGTTCCTTCTTTCCTAATTATCCCATCTCTTTATTGTGTAGGTTGAGTTGATATCTCTTTCTAAAATAACATTCTAGTTCTCTGCCTCCTCTCAGATTCTGTACTTTTCTGATCATTCTTTCATTCTGCATCACAGAAGGCAGCTTGCCTTCAGAGAGACAACAGGGAAAGAAGTAGAAATGAAAATAGGGTACTTATTACAGTTCTTTCTTTGGACAGTGGAGCACCATAAATATTCTGGCCTCAATATTTTTCTGGCCACAAAAACTATACGACTCCAGAGATATAGATTATGTGAGGGTGTGACATTTTAATAGAATAAATTAAAAATATATCAAAATGTTCATATTATCAGCTACATATTAGAAAGTCTAAAAACTCTTGGAATTAAAGTGGTTCTAGATCAAGCTAAATTTAGGAGTGTTGTGGTGAGAGCCAGTGCCTTTCCAATGCCTTTTCATTCTGATAGCATTTTCAAAATGAAACACTTATCTTTATTTCATGGGTTACCCTATTAGCATACAAATTAAATTAGATTAACATTTAGGAAAATATTATAACGTCTACAAGAACTCTTTTGGCACATTGAAGGACATTCAAACTTTTTCCAAATGTTTCCTCTACATATGGGTCTGGAAATACCCAAGAGGACTTAATTATTTTTATATTTGCATTTCTTTTATACATGACTGACATTTGGAATGTCTACCCATACCACAGAGATGCTGTCTTACCTAAGCACCCCAACAGAATAAGAACACATCTGCTTACAAGATATTACACTGACAGTTAAAAAAGAGATAGAAGTATATGAAATTTTTCCATCTTTTTATATATTGAGTAAAATCAGTATTGTTTCTTTTAACATGCAAACACTTAGATGGCAAGGATTACATCTTTTGAATTTACTAGAAGGATGACTGTGTAGTGTTATATGTATGGCAGTAGTTTAGTACTCTCTTTGACCTAGTTTCAGTGAATCACAAAATTATTCCACATTGCAATTCTATATATGCTATCATACATATGTACATACATATGCAAGCTAATATATGATTGCTTTGATATTAAATACATCTTTTAAAATGCTTCAACTGGTTATGCAGGCTTTCCTCAAATTTTAACAATTTACTTTTAGAATGCATACCATCAAATATATTGTCATAAAAAGTTTTATTTCAAAAATACCTTGAGGTTTTGCATTGCTGACCAAGATCAGGGAATTCGTTAAAAGATATGGCTAACTATAAAAGATACGTCTAACTATATAACAGATGATATATTTTGATGTATACATATTTGTATATATGTATACATATATATACAATATTACAATATTGTATATATACAATATATATAATATTCACTAGAAAAATGAATTAGAAAACTTGTATATATATGTATATATACAAGTTTTCTAATGTTTAATGATATCATGCCATATATCTTAAACACAAACATGAATATATACATATATTGAAACATACATAAGAGATAATATATAAAATAAAAATATTCATATTTACTACATATTATAATATGTAGTTTTAATTTATTATATACATGTATTTTACATGGAGTTTTAATGTACCATATATACATATAATATATACATATATACATATAATAGATAAATATTATATTGTATATTTAGTACACTATAATACAGAGTATACTATATAATATAAAATGCCATATGTGAATATATAAATATATATAGTTTATATGTATCATTAAATATTTTGTATAATATAAATGTACCAATGTAAATTTTTATAATATTTGCAATATTAACTTTCAGACTAAGTATATTAGAGATATATGCATATATATTATGTAATAAGTGTATTATACATCATCTTATGCTTTCTATCTGACTCTATTTTTATCTCTCTTGCAACATCTTATGCTTTTAGTCTGAAGTTAATATTTACATTTAAATTTTAAATATTTTATCTTGACATGCTGTAAGTATAATGTTTTCAGGAAATGAGTTGCACAAACTTAGTTGAAAATATACTTTCTTTTTATTTGGATAAATCTCTTTCTCATTTTTAAAGCAGCAATAAAATCATTCCACTAACTTGAAAATAATTTTGTAAGTAAATTAAAAATTAGCCTTGTGGAAACCTTTCCACCTCTGAACATTCTGTGATGTTGATGGTAAACACATTAATGAATACATAAAGCCACAGGACTGACATGTAGTTCTGTGCCTATAGTTATGTAATGAATAAAATGTTCAGACAGAGAATATATGTATGTTTTATATATATATGTATGTGTGTGTGTGTGTGATGTTATTTATATATATAGTCTAGTTATGAGTACTAAAAATGCTTCAAAAAGTGCATGTCACAAAGATAGGGCTCAAAAATATTAACTATTATTTATTCAAGGAGATAAAAGCAAATGCCTATTCTCTCTATTTAGATATATTCATAATTTTCTGCTTAGCTGTTATTCATAGGTACCACTCTACTCTGCCCAGGTAAAATAACTAGATACAAAGAAATGAAAGGAAATCATTCTTACCATAATTATGCTCCACTTAGGTCCCTTCATTGTTATACGTTGCATATACAAAAGTGGTTAAATAAAACTCTAAAAGATTAAACAGAAAAAGTGTATTTGAATTAAATAGACATGCATTATCCAATATTTTCATTGATGTATAATAGTGTATTTAGGTGGCCTTAAAATAAAAGTCACTTCAAATAATATGAAATTTTGAATAAACCACACATACAGAATATGTTTCAGGGCATATAATAGAATAACAATACTGCTTAAGGAATCTTTTCTTTTTTTTTTTGAAGTTAAAAATTGTGCTGCTTTCTAAGGTTTATATTTTTCCTTGCTGTTTCTTTTATTGATACCACTATATGTCATGAATACATTTTTTTTCTTTTTTTGGAGACAAGGTCTCACTCTGTTGCCCAGGCTAGATTGTAGTGACACTATCATATCTCACTGTAGCCTCAAACTGTGAGGTGCAAGTGATCCTCCTGCCTCAGCCTCCTGAGTAGCTAGGACTACAGGTGTGTGCCACCACCACCAGCTATTTTTTTAACATGTTTTGTCAAGACAGAGTCTGGCTATGTTGCCCAGGCTAGTCTCCAAATCCTGACCTCAAGTGTTTTCCTGCCTTAGATTCCCAAAAGGCTGGGATTATAGGCATGAAACACCATACCTGACCATTAATTAAATTGAATACAATGGAAAATTAAAAGAATAATTTCCATGTACTATTTTATATTTTTAGGTTCCAATTATTCAAAACAACAAAAAAATTATTTTTCCCTAACCTTATCCCACCCTCCCCCTTCTTACTTTCCAACGTGCATTATACTACTTTGTCTGACCATATATAACCTCAATTGTTTAGCTCCCACATATAAGTGAGAACATGAGGTATTTATTTTTTTAATTCCTGAAACACTTAGGATAATGGTCTCCAGTTCCATACAACTTGCTGCAATAGACATTATTTAATTCCTTTTTATGGCTGACTAGTATTCCAATGGCATGTGTATGTATATATAAATATATATATATATAAATGTATATATACACACACACATATTTGTATATGTATACATTTTCTTTATCCACTTATCAGTTGATGGGCACTTAGTTTGATTCCGTGTCTTTGCAATTGTGAATTGTGCTGCAATAAACATACGAGTGAAGGTGTCTTTTTGATATCAATTTTTTTCCTTTGAGTAGATACTCAGTAGTGGGATGGCTGGATTAAATGGTAGGTCTACTTTCAGTTCTTTGAAGAATCTCCATACTGTTTTCCACAGAGGTTGTGCTAACTTACATTCCTAGCAACAGTGTATGAGCATTCCCTTTTTACCACATCCGTATCATTTGTATATCTTATTTTGAAAAAAATCTGTTCATATCCTTTGTCTACTTTTTAATGAGGCTATTATTATTTTTTACTTTCTGATTTTTTTATTTCCTTGTAGATTCTGGATGTTAGTCTTTTGTTAGATATATACTTTGGGAATATTTTCTCCCACTCTGTAGGTTGTCTATTTGCTCTGTTAATTATTTCTTGTGCTGTGCAGAAACTTTTTAGTTTAAATAATTTCTATTCATTTATTGTTTAGTCATTGCTTTTGGGGTCTTAGTCATAAATTCTTTGCTTAGGCCAAGAATTTATTGATTATGTTATAGGATAATATTTTCAATATATGTGCAAGAAAACTAGAAAGCACACTTTGAGCACTGTTGGTTACAGATAATTTCCTGAATAGCACAAACATAGAAATATACCAAAATCCCCCTCTCTAACTCAGTGTTATTACAATAAGAACATCTCAGTCAATTCCTGTTAGACAGCTATGATCATATGAGCTGACCATTATAGTGGTTTATCATTGCTATTGTCAAATGTACAATTCAGAAGAATGAAAGGAAAATGCCTATTCCCACAAATGCAATCTATTAGATAATTGATGTTCTTATCTTGAGAAGATACCTTTCCTTTTGTGTTTGATTTTGACTTTTTAACACAGCAGGCTATTATTATAGGTGTCAAAGGTTTAGAAATTATGTCATGCCGTTGTATTTTCAGACATTCCACTAGTTGGATTATTTTAATAGAATTGACTAAATAAATCAGTCAGAATGGTAATTCAGTCCAAGAAGTTGGAACTTTTCGTCTGATTTAATTCCACAATCAACTCAGATAAAATGGCCTTAATCTATTGACAAATAGATGAAGAAAAACTAACTATGCTTTGGGATTTGAAATGTCTCTAGGCAAGTCAGGTAACTTTACTGGAAAAAATCCTTGCCTGTATACAAAAGTTTAAAAAAATGAAACTGAGAAAAAATAAAACTAAATTGAAAAATTCAGCTGCCTGGGTCTCTTTGCTCTGAGCAATACCATAAATTCATTTCTTGTAGTAACCACAGAAAACAATACCTATTTCTACCTTGGGTTCTATAAAATCAATAAAAATGAGACAGATGTTTGAGGAAGTGGGTGAAGTGGCATAGAAAGCACAGATTCCAGGTGATAAACACAGATGCTAAATTGTGGATGCCACTGAAGAATTAGCTGCTACATTTAAAGATTTGAAGCCTGGGGAAAGTAGCAAGGTGGCCTCAGATTTATAAAATAGCCAAGGTTTTTCTGTAAATAAAACTAATAATAAATACAACAAAATAAGTTATTCTGGAGGTAAAAAATATATTATTCATTGAATGTTGGAATAATATTAACACTAACACCGAATCAGAGACACCTCCTGAATAAACAAGGTATATTTTACCATGCTTTCTGTAAATTTATGAGAAGTACCACATCTAATTTTGAGTCCAGTACTTTCTAAAATAGAAAGTTTCTTAGTGAAACTTCCCCATTCTATGTACTTTCACTGAATTGATACTAAAGAGCAATAAAATAACGTTGCAATTTTACAGCTATAGGCATAAAAAAGTCCATAGAAGAGTTTACAAGGTAGATATAACATAACAATAGATTTGATAAATGTTATTGAGTTTTTATTTTAAGTCAATACCAAGTATACCAGAAGCAGACAATATTACCTGTGAATTTTGTACCCTCCAAACGGCTGTGTCCTTTCTTAAAAACCTTGGAAACTAGGGAACATATATTTTCAAGGAAATTTCACAGTGTGTAGATTAACAGATGTATGAAAATATTCAATTTGGCATTTTAATACTGATAATCATTATACATTATCTTCTGTGACAAAATCCCTTTGTCTGCTTAATGTTCTACTGATCTTTTTTTGCTTCTCCGGAAGCTTTCTGAAGGACTTTTTTTTATCACAAATTATTCTTCAATAAAGAACCTTTTTTTTTGTCTCTTACCATTGAATGCCACAATGTTTTCAATAAAAATGAAAGCTTCTGATAACAAATATCTACTGGATGACATGAAGCTGAACTGCCCAGAGTATCTATATAATTGTGTGTATCCAGATATTTGATTGTTGCATATTGGAATTGTGGAAATGTATTGTGGTTACAGAAATCATATTTTGATGCTGATGGAGTCTGTGAGTAAAAAATATATCTGGATTCCATGCAGCACAAAGAGAAATGTTGATAAACATTTATTACCACAACAACAGAGGTAATAATGCAAAAATATTTTCAAAAAATTCTGATAATGAACATACCATACAAGCTTTGTCATGTATTTACAGAATATTTGGATGGCAACAGGTTTCCAGAGATAAGAAGATTCATCTACTAGGTACTATCTTTGAATGAAGATACATCTACTAGTCACTACTAACTAGTAGTTGCTACTACTAGTTAGCAACTTGTACTCACCTCCAAAAAATAATTTTAAAAAATAAATAAAAAGAGACCTACTCATGACAAGAAGACCAACAAAATGGACCTTATTCTATGAACCAATGAAAATGGCTCTATTTTCCATCTGTTTGGCATATTTATATTATTAAAAATTCTGCACACCTCATTATATTTGTGAAACTGATATTATGCCTTTGTCAATCAAAATATATTCTTATATAAAGAATTTAAGATATACCCAATTTTTACTTGATATTGTCCCAATCCATTATTTAGGGGCTCAGAATAAAGAACAAGTATCTGGTACTATGACAATCATTACATCATACTAGAGTGGTCCCTTGTGTAAATGAGGATTCAATTCCAAGTTCTTTGCAATATTAGTTATATAACTTAGGCAAATGTGTTAACTGCTCTGAGTCTTTCAAAAATACTTTTTCAAATAAAAATATATACTTATTAAGGTATATAAAGCATTAATATATATTCCTATTTTAAGGATAGTTATATGCAAAATCCTTGTACATAGTGGACTCTCAATGCATGTTAATTTCTCCAGTTTTCCTTTATTATACAGCCTGACATTTCATCAACTAAAGATTCAATGCTTTTAATAAACTACCTCATTTGAAATTGAAATGTCTCTGGGAAGGTTAAGACTTTTATATCTTATTTTCAATTAGTTTAATTAGATTACTTTATGCCCCCATCTAAACTCAACCTCCAAGATCTACTACATCATGGGAAGCAGTTTTCATAGTGATGGTGGGAAGGTGATAGACACTTCAGTGCACAGCGCTAGAAAGAAATTTCATCTAACTTAAAAGAATTGAACTCATAATTTTCAAGGTTAACATTGAAAAAGAATTTTCAAATGGAGATCAGTAGCAGATGTACTTACTTCTAGTTCTGTTCTGCTTGGATTTTTCACTTCTTGGGGGTTTCTTCTGATTATCACAACATGCTTAATACAAACAATACAAGGGAGAAAGTATCGGGGGCATTTTCCCTTTTAACATTTGAAAAATCTCTCTTTTATTTTTAAGAACAGTTTGAAGGGAGTCACGTCTTTAAAAATATTCCCTAAATAAAGTGCTAAGGGAGAATTTAAGATAAATATGTGTGAAGAGTAGAGCAGCATATATTTTAAACACTTGGCTTATAATCTATCGGGTTATAATACAGCCCTATCTTGCTTGGTCTCTGGGTTTCCCAGGATTTAGTATTTGTCACATGGAAACCCATTTCCTAATCCCTGATCTACGACACAAGGACATTCTACAAGGTATCTATCAGTGGTTCCAAATCTGGTCTGGCAGTTCAGTTTACACAACGTCAACATATGTCATGCGTTTAAACCTCATGACAACCCCAAGAAATAAGAATTCTCTTTTTAAATCATTGCTATTTTACATATAAGAAAAATGAGACAGGGTGCACTGCTTACAAACAGTGGAGCTGGCATTAGAACTTAGGTAGTATGCTTACCTGGCAGGGGAGATAACATGATCATAAAGATGGTTTTTCCAAGGGTGAGACTTAGCAATTGCACTCCAGATGTGCTGACCTCTGTGATTTCCCCAAATTGTACTGCATAATTTGTGGTATTGGGGCACTGCATTCACCCTCCTAAAAAAATAATTTAGATGGTCTATTTTCAGTGGTTGTGCTCAAAACCATTTTGCTCTACAACATGGAGTCTAGGGAATATATTTTTTTTACACCAACACGTATTTTTGAGCCTTCACTTTATCCTGGGCCCATTGATAAGAACTTTCTCTACATTCTTTTATGTGGAATGTTCAAAGAGCACCTTCTATGTGTCATAATATTTTACTGTTACTTATGCAAATAAAATAAAATCCTTGTCTAATTGGTTCAGTTAATTTCATAGAGGGACATAACACATATCTTCCTACCTGCCTACATACATTCATATATACAAAAATTATAAAATTTATATCAAACCTATGAATCTGGCACCAAAATTATCCCCAGATTACTGAAGAGAAAAACGAAGTTTAGAGATTAAAGAATCCAGCACAATCTATTAGACTTGTAAGCAAAATGAGCTTTCAGATGATTTCAGTGTTTTCAGGTGTCAAGTTACCTCCAGAATTCAGGTGTTCCCAGACATTATAATGAGTCACAGCAAACCTGCTGTATCCTTTCTGAAGCGTGGATCCACTGAGCATAACAAAATGATTGTTGTTTATGCCATTGAGTTTAGGGTACATCATTATGCACCAATAATAACTGAACCAACCAACCCAAAGAGGCATGTAATGCAATGCAACCACATCATGGTGTTATTTCAAGAATTATCCCAGTGGGCTTTCAGGAAGACATTTTTTCCCAGTGGCATTTTGAAAAACATGTAAGCCTGGCTGGGGAAGGGCACTGGGCATATGAATATTACTCTGGTTCTGAAACTTGAGAAAATTTAGACCCAATTAAGTAAAACAAAAGACACCATAGCTCACTTACAACATCTGTCTGTACCTTTAGGAAAAAAGAAAGTGTGAGATAACAGAGGGATAAAAGAGAACTAAATAACAACAAAAATAATGACAGCACAAGTACAAAATGGCAAACCTGAAAGTATTTTAAATATATATATATATATATATCAATTAAAGAAGGGGAACCACAGCGAAAACCTATGACTATGAAACGATATTGATGACATCCTAATTTCAAAGCCCCTGTCCTCTTGAGTGTCATGATTTCGATACACTTGTGTTTGTGTATGTACCATTCAATCTTCCAATGAGGTTAGAACTTGTGGTAGAACCAAAGTGCAAGACTTGGTAAATTTTTAGCTATGGAGTACTTTTGTCTTACCAATATAATATAAAATTAAATAATAAGTGACCAATAAGATGACTCAGTAATGCATTAAAATGGAAATGAGTGGGAGCTTTAATACATACGCACACACACGTACACACACATACACACGATAATAAAACAGACTCAGAGTTTTTGATTAGCTCTTGGCTGATCAAGGAAAACACCAGGAGCCTTCTGGTTGCCTATGCCATGTATGAGAGCACAATGTACCTGTTTAGAGCAAACAAGGCCACAGAGGGTACTTTCTGAATTCATATAGCTTAGTCCTTCCATTTCTATCGAAGTCTTACTGCCATTTGGGCAGGATTTCAGTTCAGGAACTTCCCAGGGCTAGAAGAAGATCCCTTGTGCAGATCTCTTGGCAGCAGATTACAGAGATGCTGCTGGCACTGCCCTTCAGCCTCCACACCACCACTACCCTCTCATTGTGTTGGCTCCACATTAATTTGAAGAATTTAATCTGTGGAACAGAAAAGCCTGAGGCTTTTCTAAAGCTTCCACCTTTCATGTTTGAGAACCACTGGATAAGAAGTTGTCCATTTTAATGCTTTATTTCTCTTAGTATAATAGATTTGGAAATAACTGGGGCACTCAGCAGCAGCCCTTGGAAAATCTGCAGTTTCTTTCATGGAATTCTTTTATTGCCTTGGCTATACATCAAGCAACATATGAACCAAACCAGAGCCAATTGGCTGACAAAGTCAGAGGAAGGGACCTTAACTCCTTTAAACCATGCATTCATTCTTATTCTTCTTTTCTGAATACAGACAAGGATGGCTGGTATTCTTTCTGAATACTAAATTCAAAATTCAAAATTGACCATGTTCCCAGAATATTTTCTCCAAAAAGAACTTTAGAGTCTACCTAGATCATATTATAAAAGAGGAAATTGAATCCTGGTCACAAAAGTAGCAGGCCATGCCCAAGGTCACAAAGATACCAGCAAATCTGGAAATAAAATCCTCTATTCCTGAGTCTTACTACTGTATTCATGCTTCTAAATTATTCCTTACTATAAATAAAGAGTTATTTATATTAGTCCTATATATGTAGAACTAATACATGAGACTCTGCTCTGTGTATTTAATTATTGGCAGTATTGTCTAAACACACACTATTACTAAATTAGATATTAATTTTATTTTCCCAGCTATTTACAATGACATTATTCATCATCAGTAACATGATTACTCTTCAGAAATAATTATCAGTGTATCAGACACTCTGTTAAGCATTCATGTGTATCATTTCATTTAATTTTCATGAGAACTTTATATAGAAATAAAATTAATATTTGAATTTAAAAATGAGGAAACTGAGGCACAGGACATAAACTACATTTCTGGAGCCATACATCTGGGATTGATGCAGGGATTCTAACATAGCTCCTTTTGCTCAGACCTTGCACCTTTGCCTTTTGACCAGCTTTGCTTCAAACTTCAGACTTCTCTAGATGCTCTGCCAAATAGCTAAAGTATGGATACAAATGCCTAAATAAACATTCAGAGATTTATACTGCTTTGTGTCAGTGCTGCAAAAATGCAATGTTGCACAACCTCTTCTTGAAAAACCTTTCAAGACAACAATACAAAATCCATCAGATAGGGCCATAGCTACATAAATGATGCCTCTTAGGGTATATACACTGAGCCACTCTTCTCTTGCCAGAACAGGTCAAAGTATTTTGTTGAAATTTATAGAAATTGGCTCTTCTAAATGATAATCATATAACCTATGTTTTTCCCATACTAAGTGTAGAGTAGGTTGGAAAGATCATAGTTATTTTTTTAATAATTAAATAAGAAGATGTATATATAAAATACTTAGTACAGTGCCTGGAATACAGTTAGTGATATGTAAATGTTAGACATGATCATTATTAGCATTCTGCCTTCCTTTCGTCTTCTATTTATTCCTCAACTCCTCTGAACAGTTTGCTTTCTTTCCTTATTTGCTATCACTACTTCATTGAAATTTTTGTAAGAGCAGAGATCCCCAGATTGATAATAGTATTTCTTAAGTGTTCTTTTGCTTATCATCTAAACAGAATATATTACAACTACTTACTGACCTATTTTTTTTGAGGGGGGGAATCTGGACAATTTCTCAATCTCTAAAACATACATGACCCTTGAATATCATGGGGTTTGCAGTGATGACCCCCCCATCCAGTCAAAACTACATGTAAAACTTTTGATTCCCCCAAAAAACTTAACTATTAATAGCTTACTGTTGATCAGAAGCCTTACTGATAACATAAGCAGTAATTATAATAACACATATCTTGCACATGTATCATATACTGTTTTTTTACAATAAAATAAGCAAGAGAAAAATGTTATTAAGAAAATCATAAGGAAGAGAAAATATATTTGCTCTTCATTAAGTGGAAGTATATCATCATAAAAGCCTTTGTCTTTGTCATTTTCACATTAAGTAGGCAGAGGAAGAGAAGGAAGAAGAAGGAGTGGTCTTGGGGTCCCTGGGGTAGCAGAAGCTGAAGAAAATCCATGTATAAGTGGACCCACACAGTTAAAATCCTTGTTGTTCAAGAGTCAACTGTTTATATATTGACTCCTCTATTTCTTATGGCATCCTATAAAAAGAAAGAAAATATACCAATTTCTATTTTTTAAGCTGTATCAATTAATATTTATGATCTATCACCATGGTAATCCTGTATAATAAGCAACCTCAAGACTTCTGTGGCACACAATAAACATTAGTTGCTCATGGATCTGGCATAAGCTGAGGCCTGTCTATACAGCTGCACTAATCTTCACCAATCTTGGTTGGACGTTTTCATGCCCAAGGGAGCCACTAGCTATTGGAACATCTAACATCACCTTGACTGGGCAACTGAGATGAACTGGCTCTGCCCATAGGTTTTTATCCTCCTGCAGGCTAGTCCAGGCATATTGTCATGGTGATAACAGTAGTGTGACAGAGGAAGTAGAACCAAGTCATGCCTCTTAAGGTTAAAACTTGAAACTTCTTTTTTATCCAAAGCAGTTCATATGACCAAGTCCAGATTCAAGATATGGGAACTCAGACTCTACCTCTTTAGTGGGCAAAACTTCAAAATCAAATGTCAAAGGGCATGATTGCAGGAAAATTAAAACATTTTTAAATATATGTTGTAACACTCAAAGGAGTTGGAAATTTTAATGACATTAATTCATCCTCTCATAAGAAGAACCTGAAATTTAAAGGATTTAAATACATTGTCCAAATTCATGCACCTAGTACATTGTAGAACAAGAATTCAATCCAAGGATTGTCAAATATCAGAGCTGTGATCCAATACAGTTTGATCTTTCTTTCCATAAAAAATACTTTCTTCCCTTGTCTTTCATAAAAAATCTTCCCTGGCTTTACTCTGTACTCACTAGTGTTTAGTTATGCCTCTCTTGCTGGTTCTTTCTTCTCTACCTAGTCCTTAATTATTAGACTAGATCCATGTAACAATGGAGAGCCTATAGCCAGGAGCCCCATGACCTTGGATGGGGGGAAAACCCCTCCATTTAATTTATTTTCATGAGTCTCCTATTGAAATGCTTCTTTTCTTTAATCACTAAATGTAAGCTACAAAATGCATTAGTATTTGCAATATCTCACACTTTGTGATGAGTAGAAATAAGTGATAATTTCATATCTCATTATAATGTTCCACGAATCTCAAAATATTATTTATATTCATCCAAATTTGACATCAGAATAGTTATTAAACATCAGAACATCTTGATATTAATGTTTTAATGGATCAGCACATACATTGACTATATTTCACATTTGTTTTTAAAATAGTACACATTGCAATACAATTGGCTTGTTTTGTAATCTACTGTATCTTATTTATTTTACTTAATGCATGAACATGACAAGAGTCTTTAAGCATTATGAGATTGGCAAAATCTACACCGTTAAAATTAATTTTAAAAACCTAAAAAGTCTTTATATATATGTATATATATAGTTACTAAATGACATTATTAATTTCCATTGCCATAAATATCTTCAAATTAATGAAAATCTTTCTCTAACTCTGATATCTCTCCTGAGTTTGACCCTCACATGTCCATCCAATTGCCAAATGGCACTGTGCTGCTTTGTAGGCACGCCAAGGTCAATATGCTTCAAACAGAGACCCTCTGATCCACGCATACACATGCCTCTTTACCATCCTGTGTTCTCTGCTGCAGTAATCATTATTAAACACCTAGAAATCACAGTCTATTCCTCTGCCTCACACCTCCATTGTCAATCAGTGCAGTCTTGCTTGGGCTACCCCAGAGGTCTTCTAATCATCACTTCATATCTGTTCTTATATTCCTCTAACCTATACTTAGCACCATATAAGAATTTTTTTAAAAAACACCAACATTATCCATGGTTTCTCATTTTATCGAGGATAGCACCCAAATGTTTAACACATCTCTTTTAGGCCTTTCCCGATCTAAATCCCCTCCTACTTTGTCTGCCATTGTTATTCCACTTACCCTCTGAGATAAAAACCCCCCACTATCCTCTGCTTTACAAA